CTCTCTCTCTCTCTCTCTCGCCTGGGGTGTCTCTCTCTCTCTCTCTGTGTGTTTTTTCCTCCGTCCTTTCTTTCCCCCCCTCTCTCTCTCTCCCTCCCTCCCTCCCTCTCTCTCTCTCTCTGCAGATTCTCCCGTTGTGCTGCCTCTCTTGCAGCGTTGTGGTGGCGGCAGCGTTGCCCGGTGACAGCGGTGGTGGCCCCGGCGCCTTCAACCAGGGTTGGTATATTTTCCTTGAACTCCCCAATTTCAAAAACCAGGGCATCCCGAGGCATCTCCCCTTCTCACCTTGCTGGGGGTGGCAGAGGCAGAGGAGGCAAATTCGGCTTGGAAGCCTTCAATTTTTGGCTGCCAGGTTAGTTTGTGGGAATTCGATATGTGGGGGGCAGAATGCAGAACGTCAGAGTTGGAAGGGAGCTGGGAGATCTCCTGGTCCGACAGGTGTGCCCTGGCCAGGTTTTCCCATTTCAACCTGGCATGATTGAGCCAGGTGGGTCCTGGACAGTTGAGACCCTCAGTATAATAGTTCATCTACATTTTTAAAAAAATGGGGCTTTTCCAGTGAAGCATTGCCTTGAAGTGCTGAAATGGAGAAGACCCACTTCTAAAAGTGCAGACCAGGCTAAACTTGGCAGACCAGGTGTGTTGAAAGTGTTGCAGTCCTGGGAAGATCTTTGGGGTCTGATTGGATTATGGACTGTTCCTATCTCAGGTTATCAGATGCAGAGATTTAGCCAGGGATGGGCGGCTGCTCTGGTTTGCGGGCACAATCCCTTAATCCCCCCCCCCCGTCTGTCCTTCCTGAAATAAAATCTAAAGACGTGTAAATGAAAGGACGATATACTCAGGTCTTTACCCCTGCTTGTATTTTCTTTCTCTCCCTCTGTTGTAAGCTCCCTGGGGTGTAAACTCTCCTCTTTATTTCGTCAATGGGAAGAGCATTGAAGCTGCACTTTGAGTAATGCCCCAGAGGTGCTTTTTGCTTTGGAAAATCCAGTTGCCTTTTGGAGAAAAAAAAAAAGCACCTTTGGGACAACAAGGATCTGGATGACTGAGAATCTTCATCGACGTTTTGAGTAATGAGCATTATTCTACTTGTGTGCTTCCTGGGAACAGAGAGCTGCTTAGAAGCAGAGGCGTTTTGGTCTGGCTCTCTAGTGGACTCAGGATGTTACAGAAATGCAACTGTTAAATTCTTAAATCCTAATGGGAAAATAAGCCGTGTGAGAACTGCAAACTTGCGCCCACATCACAGACTTACTTTATGTAGATGTGAAGGAAAGTCAGGTTAAGTGAGATGTGAGAATGACCTCGGCAGACAGGAGGAAGAACCTCAGACTGGACCCCCATCAGGCAAATATAGCTGAGCCCACAGAAGAGAGGAAATTGAGAAGCAGCTAGTTTTCCAGAGAGTTAAAAGGAGAAGAAGGGAGAAAATGCCTCTAGGCTTGCAAGATTGTGTTAATTAATCTTACAGTAAACATAAAATAGAATCAGCACTCATTGCTGTGCTTCCTGTATGGACTAACTTGAACAGTTAACTACTTTGAATAGGTCCATTTGTTTCCACCCTGAGTTTCAAAGATCTGTTTGAAACAAGCGCCCTTAATTCTTGATTAAACTTTCTTCCTGGAGCTTAAGGGGATGTACATGACACTCCCTTTTCCGGTGTTTTCTCGACAACAAATCTGCACGGTAGATTGGGCTAAGACAGTGTTTCTCAACCTTGACAATTTTAAGGCATGTGGCCTTCAACTCCCAGAATTCCACAGCCAGCATTGCTGGCTGTGGAATTCTGGGAGTTGAAGTCCACATGCCTTAAAATTGTCAAGGTTGAGAAACACTGGGCTAAGAGAAGACTCCTGGCTACTTCTCTAAAATAGGGTTGCCATGTCTGCTTCCCAAAAATAGCGGACAAGCGGGGGGGGGGGGGTTAAGTAGTAAAAAAAGTAGACTGTACAGCTTTAGATTACGTACCATTTCATCATAAAGCTTTTGAATAAAAAAAATGTCCACTATTTTGTGAAAAAAAAAAATAGTGAACATAATGTGAAAAAAGTGGACTGTCCACTCAAATAGTGGACACCTGGCAACCCTACTCTAAAATCAGATTTGAACCCAGGTCTCCCTAGTCCTAATCCAAGATCGCAACTGCTCTCATTACAAGGGTTATTCAGGGAAAAAAAAAAGTACTTTCATAGGAACAAGAGACAGGGGGAAATAATTATAGATCAATACTAAGACGAGATCTGTCTCAGTCCCTCCTCCTAACACGGATGTGAAGAAAGGAATGCAGAGGAAGACCTTAAAAAAAAAAGGGGGAGAAAGAGAGAAAAAAAAGAGGTTAATCTCACTTTTTTAAAAAAACAAAAAAACAAAGTTAAAGCATAGCACCAGAAAGAATTACTTGAAAAATCCAGCATTTCTAACCCCTTCGCGCAGGTCGAGAATGAGAACCGGGCGAGGGGAGGGGGGAAGCTAGTGAGAAGTCGCACTCTAGGAAAAACGTGTGTGAACAGGCAAAGTGGGATTCCTAGATTTCAAAGAGAGCTGGAGACGGGAGAGCCATCGCGGATTTGAAAGTTCATCTCCCTTTAAAAATAAATAAATAAAAATAGAAAAAAAAAACCCAAAACAAAACAGGCAGAGGCTTCCGAGCGCTTCCACACAGAGCGCTTAATAATAATAATAATAATAATAATAATAATAATAATAATAATAATAATAATAATAATTTAATTTGTACCCCGCCCTTCTCCTCACAGGACTCAGGGCGGCTAACAGCCTTGTAAAACCACAATACAATAAATATCCATTAAAACCAAATTAAAAGAAAATATTTGAAGCGGCCAATCGTTAAAATTAACCTTTAAAATACCCTTAAAAACCCCACTAAAATTCCCTAGGCCAGACCCGCTTGTTGAAAAAGCCATGTCTTTAGGGCGCGGCGGAAGGAGGGGAGANTCCGGGATCACCCGGATCTCTGGGGGTAGTTCGTTCCAGAGGGTGGGAGCTCCCACCGAGAAGGCCCTCCCCCTGGGGGTCGCCAGCCGGCACTGTCTGGCTGACGGCACCCTGAGGAGACCCACTCTGTGGGAGCGTACCGGCCGATGGGAGGTAACCTGCGGCAGAAGGCGGTCTCGGAGATATCCAGGTCCGATGCGGGCTGCTGCAACGAAGAGTTTTTAAACCGGCAGCCCTGCTTAAAAGATATCCGCGCAGGGCTGCCGTTTCCCCAGTCAGCTCGGGAAGAAGTAGGATCCTTTTCGCTAGGCGTGCTAACGAGCCCCTTTTTCGTGGAGAAAAAGGCCTGCTGGTGTGCGGAGTGTTTGCTCTGGGAGCGTTGGAGCCTTTGCTCCACCGGGGGGGGGGGAATTCCCCTTCTCATGCAGCTGCTTGTGTTTTTGGCTACCGGCCTTGCTTAGCATCCTGAAATTTCCTGATTAGCGCTGCTGGTGAAAAGCGAGATGCTCTCAACATTTCCCCTCTCTCTCCACGGGGAAAAGCAAGCAACGACGCCTCCCTTTGGAAGCTTGTGAAGATAAAGAGATAATAAAAAAAAAAAACTCCATTCAAAAATATCTTTGTTTCTTCATGCGGTGGGGGGGGAGGTGGAAGGAGGTGGAAGGAAAGAGTAGCTTTTCTTCCCAGGCTTATGAAATGGAGAAAAAAGCAACACAGCTTTCTTGGTTGCTGTTGGGTTTCTTGGATTTCTTTTCCAGGGTTCGCACAAAAAAAAAAAAAAAAGTCCCACGCGAGGAGGAATTTAAAAGCCATTATTAATAAATGCAAACGAAGGATGGGTGAATAGTTTATTAGTCTTGTAACCGTATCAAAAGGAAAAAAAAACCCCAATGAAAACTCAAAAGAATCTGATAAGGGCCCTCTAAAAATAGCTGACTTAAACCCCCTAAGAAGCTTACAAACTTAAAATACAAGCTGTTATCAGAGATCAGAAAACTGTGGGAGTTCAGCTGAGTGTACCTTGAAGCTGGGAGCTAGAATTTAAAAGATGTGATGCCATGTCTATCTGGGCTGGACTAGAAGATTTCCAAGGTCCCTTCCAACTCTATTATTCTGTTATCTTTTTTTTGCTTTGGATACTGCTTCTCAAATGCTAACTTGTTGATAACACACAACCAGTGTATCTACTACGGCACTATGAAAAACAAACCAGAATGGTGGGACTTTCTAAGTCCTCGTGGCCAGAGTTTTATGAAATAGCAGAGGGATGTAGAAATGGAAGCGGGTGCAGTCAGAATAGAATAGAGCTGGAAGGGACCTTGGAGGTCTTCTAGTCCAGCCCCCCCCCTTAAGCAAGAGAACCTATACCATCTCAGACAAGTGACTGTCTAGCCTCTTCTTAAAAATCTACAGTGATGGAGTGCCCACGATTTCTGGAGGCAAGTTGTTCCACTGGTTAATTGTCCTCACTGTCAGGAATTTTCTCCTTAATTCTAGGTTGCTTCTCTCTTTGTTCAGTTTCCAACCATTGTTTTTTGTCCTGCCCTCTGATGCTTTGGAGAATAACATGACCCCCTTGCCTTTGTGGCAGCCCCTCAAATACTGGAATACTGCTATCATTTTGCTCCTGTTTTTTTCTTTTCTTTAGACTAGCCAAACCCAAGTCCTGCAGCCTTTCTTCATATATTTTAGTCTCCAGGCCTTCAATCATCTTAGTTGCTCTTCTCTGAATTTTTCCCAAACTCTCAACATCTTTTTTGTGATATGGTGACCAAAATTGGCTGCAGTATTCCAGGTGTGGTCTTACTAGGGTTTTATAAAGTGGTACTAATGCCTCTGTTTATACAACCCAGGACTGTATTAAGCTTTTTGGTCACTGCTGCACACTGCTGGCTCATGATCAATTGATCATCCACTAGGATGGATGAAGGTTTATAGCTTGATGGCAGAATAGTAGAGCCAGCAAAAGACTCTGCAGCCAGAAATCTTGAAGCCCAAAGTGAGAGCGGTAATCTTATTATGAGTTTCATTATTTATTATATTTCCTGCAGGAGCTCAACAGGGCATATAAAGTACTCAAGCATTTCCCACTAGAACCCATTGGGGGGAACGAAGCTAAGAAGACCATCTAGCAGAGTTATGTAGTTGGTTTCCAATAAGGGTGATTCTTTGTCATCAAATAAATGACAAACGGATGAGTTAAGAATGACCAGGGAAGTTTGCAGCTGCAGTATTCTGTCTTTCCTGGAAGGACTGTTCCAAGAGTGGGAAAGGAATAAACCAGATTTTATAATTTTTGCAATTGCCCTGGGAAAGGGTGGGGGAAGGGGAGCTTGGACCCAAACTGTTTATTTCACTGGCTTCAATTTATAAGCTGCTCTAATTCAAACATGAACGTAAGTGACTTATAAGGTAATACACATGTAATACCACATTAAAACCAATAGCAACCTAAAAGGACTGTGCTCCCAGGAGCAGCCAGCAGCCTCCAAGCCCCTATTTTAAAAGAAGCTGTGCATTTATGGCTGAATTGATAATTGAAAGACTCCCAATGACAGCCCAATGAACGGTAGCGGCAGCCTTGTCCCTCTAAAAGTTTGCTTCCATCGATGTATCTCATTGGAAGTTCATTTTCAAAGGGCGCAGGCTAAACCCACATAGACCAAGAAAGACCCCCAAATGCCGGTGGGGAGATGAAGCCTGGTGGCTAACCCCCCATTCTCAACCTTCTTCCAGATTACACCTTTGTTATCCCCGTTGAGGTGGACGCCAGCGGATCCTATCTCTCGCATGACATTTTGCACGGCGCGAGGAGGAAGCGGTCCACCGTAAGCGGGAAGGCTTCCTTGCACTATAGGTTCGCAGCATTTGGACAGGACCTGCACCTTGAGCTGAAGCCCTCAAACTTCCTGAGCCAGGATGTGACCGTCCAGGTGCTCGGGAAAGATGGCATTGAAGATTCTCAGGTTGGCGGTGTTGAACAGTGTTTCTATCAGGGATTTATAAGGAACCACAGTTCTTCCTCCATTGCCATATCCACGTGCGCAGGTTTGGTAAGTGTTATGCCTCGTTGCTCGGTTTACAAACTCCTCCCCTTCTACTACATTTGTTCTCATCTGTTGGCGTAAGGCTGATTTAAAGCTGCCCCTTGGCCGTTGCTACATACCTACTCTGCTAAGTCCCAAAGGTGCTTTTCCAAAAGGCAACTGGGCTTTCTTGATTTTTTTCCCTTTGAAAATGTTTCACTTCTCATCCAAGAAGCTTCTTCAGTTCTAACTCCAAGAAAAAAAACCCTGAGAAAGTCCAATTGCCTTTTGGAAAAGCACCTTTGGGACAAACGTGATCTGGATAATTGAGATTCTCCAATACGCTGCTAAGGAGTTGATGGATAAGTGAAGGTTGCAGATGACTGAAGATGGGCCCGAGGAAAATGCCTCCCAAATCTGCATTGTGTGGAGTGTGCCTCCTGCCTGCTGATTGGTTGATCTGGCTTCCTGTTCTATGCTTTGTGTTTAAGTGCCTCCTAGCCAGAACTTTAAAATGCAGAAAAGGAATTCTATGCAACCCTCCATGAATGACAGATGCATGTTGGAAGGGCCTTGTTTCAAAACATGACAAGAATCAACAAAGGTTGACCAAATTAAATCTAAACATAATTCAATCTGATGAAGACCTGTGTTGAGTTTTTTTTCCCTGTGCAATTAAATCTTGCAACTCCATGGCATGTTTTGGAGACTTTCTGTAGCTGCTTTCAAAACTTTGGGTTGGCATATGATGCACCAATCCGCAATCCAGTCCATCTTAGCTGATCTCTAAAATTGGAACGGATTAGTTCTTAGAGAGGGATGAACAGGCAATCTCAGGACTACAGGTTAGATTGAAAAATTGGGGGGGGGAGGGGTGGAAATCAGTATAAGGTAATGGAATAATTCTGTGGTGAAATGTGGTCTGGAGTCACAGGAACGAGAGGGGCTCCTTCCCAGAGAGCAAAGAGACAGTGAATCTTGGAATATCGGGTGAGCAGGAAGATGGCAAAGATGGACCCTCCCTAGCAATTCACAGAGTTTATCTATAATTATGCAGATCTGGCAAGATTCTGTATGTAGGTAAACAACAATAAAGAGACTACTCAGAAGTAACCCCACATGCCATTCTTGGTTCTTTGGGCCTGACAAATACTTTTGTATTGTTGCCAAGAAAATGGCACTATTTGTATTCATGAAATCATCAGCAACCAATCAAGGCTTTTGACTTGTAGGTATCCAGTCAATCATTGCTCAGTAACCAAATGAACTATATATCTTGATGTGATGTGTGAAGCCAAGCTCTCATATCAATGTGGTCCTTGTAGCTACCACCATCCATACCCCCTCCCTTTTCCACAATTAGGTTGCCCTTCTTTCCTATTCATTTTAGCCCTGGCAATTAAACGGACGGTTGCATTGCTCTACATGGATGGCAGCGCTAATCATTCCATTGTTCCTTTCATTAGCAGTAGCTTCCCCACAATGCAAGTGCAGTGGCCGATTCTTTCAAATCCGAAACATCATGTTGGGGTTTGGAAGCAATGGCGTTTTAATGGACTGCAGAGATTCTTTGATCTTGCTAGCTTTGGAGTGTATGTGTGTATGTATGTGTGTATGTATGTGTATGTATGCTATTCTTGCCTGTGTAGAAAATTTATCTGGAGAGACCAGAGACAGAACACAACTAGGTAATATCACTAGAAATGAAGAATTAAGGAACAGCAGCTTTCTTGAAATTCTACCTATGAGGTCAGTACTGAGACTAAGGATAGAACATCTGTTTAGGCAGAGTTGTATTTGACCAATAGTCAAAAGTCTGGAGGTCAACTCAGAAAGACTTTAAGGGAACAGCTAGGCAATGAGCTTATGTGCTTTTTAAGTTGACAATCTTTTATCTGAACTCAGCATCAGAGGAGGCTCTGCATCCTGTCACTAGCCTGTTGTGGCCCATAAATTGCCAAAATGTGGTTCTATAGCTCCCCAGTGAGTGAAAGAGAATAATTCTTGCTAGAGAATTGTTTGTTTTCAAGGGCATTGGAAATGTATCTTAGACCAAAGGTTGCCTACTTTTACTAGAGACATTGCTTGACTGGAGCAAAATTAGTCATATTTTATCTTGGGTCTTTCCAGTGGCCAATCATGATGGTACAACAATGGCTGTGGCTGATCTTTTTAACCTAAATCTTGGGGGTTGGGGGTATCTTAAGGAAAAACCAACCCCAGTTTTAAATACTTCAAATATTTCCAAGGTTTATGATACCTATTTTACTCCTTAACCACTACCCCCAATTCTCCAAAATCACCATTAATCCCTCCCCCAATACTCCATTTAAGAGTTTTGATCCCACGCATGAGATGAGTCTGGTAATGAGGAGTTTAGACTGAGAACCTGCATTTATTTAATTGGTCAGCAATATCTTAGCCTCCATTTTTGGGGACTCTTATTGCCTCATTACTCCCCGACTACAGATCTAGTCAGTGCTGCTGTGTCAACATAATGAAAGTCCTTGGCTAACTAGCAGCCTGGTGTACGTGCAAATGAAGTAACAATTGTATAGATATGACCTAGTTAGAGAATCCTTGGATAAGAAATTTGCTGATTATATTACTGTCTGCCTTTCAGTGTGGAAAAGGGGTCTTGCTTCTTCCTTGCCAAATTCTTTTTTTGGCAGGCCTACTGTAGGTTTGAAGTGTACAGCGGACGAACTGTGCAGATAATCCTGACCTTGGTTTGACTAGCTCTGCTCAGAACTGCTGGAAGCAAAATTAGTTTGGGTTTTACACAGTAGGGTATGTGTTTTAAGTCATATATATGCTGCATGTATATGGATGTATATGGAAGTCATATGGATGTAGAACAAGTCAAATGGGAATTGCATTTGAGGCTTCAACTGATAACAACAAATCTCAGACTTTCATTGATGACATGGTAGAGATATTTTCTGCCCTTACGTGATTTGTGTAGGTTAGGCATGTCAAACTTTGACATCCCTGGTCTAAGTGATATCAGCGCTAAACATCAGTACCATTTGACAGCATTGACCTGCTTTATCTTTATAAGTGGCACAGTGATTAGAATGCAGTAGTGCAGGCAACTTCTGCTGATTCCATAATGGTGTATGGAATGGTGAAACGTTTGTTGTGCATCTTTGAACACATGTTTAGAACCGTGGAGCTTTCCTCCTTAATCCCCCAAATAATAATTTGTAAGTGATAGATTTCAACCTCACTAGAGGATTTATTCCTTTTGCCAACTGGTAAAGAAAACATATTTAATCTTTTGGGCTTTGGAGGAGTGAGAAAATAATTTATGATTATCTATCTATCTATCTATCTATCTATCTATCTATCTATCTATCTATCTATCTATCTATCTATCTATCTATCTATCTATCTATCTATCTATCTATCTATCTATCTATCTATCTATCTATCTATCATCTCCAAATTGGTGAGATGATGTAATTTCAGACACCCTTAAAGGCCATAGTTTATACTGCCAAAATAAATCATAATTAAGAAAGTGTGAATATGAAAACTGTCTAAACTACCACAAGATCCAACTGATGGGAGCAATCTTGGAAGGTCAAAGAGCTGGATTAGTTCTGTTTGAAATGATTCTTTTTGATATATCATTACAGCAGCTTGCATGTCTTGGAGAAGTGCTGGTACTTTTCACCAATGGTTTTAAGAAAATGATCCTTAGCCTATGAATGGAGCCTTACTAGAGTCCTTCCTGTACCAATGTTGCCATTAACTCTTTATGTGGCTTGATGAAAGACCTTTGTACTACAGTACAAATGTAGTACAAATGTGCCATGTTACTACTAGAAAGAGAGGACAACATGAATTAGGAAGTTCTTGTATTCAGGTGGAATAAATCCTGCTGAAGAATAAGTGTCATCAGATCTGAGCAAATAGAAGTATGAATTTCAAACTTGCCACTCGATTTTATTGGAGAAATACTCTAGGACTATTCCCTTGATTAGCTACTGTGGGGGACATGACCTTGGGTCAAATGATAGGTCTTCCATAAGAGTAGGACCTTTGTTTTCATCCATTTACTTCTTAGCATTGCTATGAGACTTTGGGGGGGTCAAGAACATGGTTGCTATTAAAAAGATGCTACAGGTTGATCCTTGAATTAATTATCTGCTGTGGCGGAACAGAAGACTGGGGAATATCAGCTGCTAGCTTAATCCAGCGAAGTCATTCTTATGTAATAATAATATGAACCTTACTGAACATAGATGTCTAATGTGCCTTTATGCATCAGTTGAGGTCTGTCATGGATTCAGTTACAAATAGGAAGCAGTTTGAAGAATAGACAGAATAATTTCATGCCATTAACCTCATTTTCACCAAATATAGAATGTAGGTGGAAGGTCAGACCAACATACTCAAACAACCAGCTGTTGCACATACGGCACACCCATCTGGTGTTGTCAGTTATTTTCTTGCAAGAATCGACTGGTTTTGCTACAAGTTTATAATAATATAAAATAAATGGCTAGGGCCATTCTTATTGTTGAATTGTTGGATAAGAAAACAGTGTGGCCTTTGACCAAATGATGCACGAGGCAGTGAAATTCTTTGGTACCTTCTCTAGGTGTTTTGACATTCTTATTTTTTAAAATCTCAAATACAATTTATCCTTTCATATAATATGATGCCTTTGCACATGTGGACATAATTCCAACATAGAAAAGCAAAGTTGGTCTAATAAGCAATGGGGCTACTGTTGTTCTCCAGATGACTGCCTAAATGTGTGGAGAGCAGGTGAGAGAAAAGAATGGGCTACCTCAACTTCTTCTGCAGGCTGTTTCTTTGGATCAGGAGAAGACATGCAACCCTGAGATCAGTGTGTGGCTCATTCCCAAAAAGTTTGCCATAGTAGACTGATAAATACTTATTTATCAGAAGGCCAAATAGATTCCAAGCTACAAGTGGAGCAATGAAACTGGTACTCACCAATAGACAATTCTGGGGAGCATATTTATATTTATACTTCTGGGTCTCATATTTTT